TGTGCTGGGGCTGTGCTGGGGGCTGTGCTGGGGCTGTGCTGGGTGCTGTGCTGGGGCTGTGCTGGTGCTGTGCTGGGGTGTCAGGGCAGGGTCGGGCACAGAGCACCCTGACAACGGTGCCATTGGTGCCGGGTGCTGACGGCCGCTCTCCCCACCAGCGCTACGATGGTTTCCACTTCTGCGGCGGGTCGCTGATCAGTGAGAACTGGGTGGTCACCGCTGCCCACTGCGGCGTCAGGTAGGCGCCGGCTCTGCCACACACCAGCCCAGGGATGGGCACAGGAGTGGGGTCCCCGGGTCCCCCCGGTTCCTGTGCCTGGTGCTGATGGCCTGCCTGTGCCCAGGACCACCGACACCGTGGTGGTGGGTGCCTACGACCAGGACTCGCCCTCCCCTGATGAGCAGAGGCTGACCATCGAGAAGGTACCGCCAGCGTGGGGGCCGTGTGCCCGCAGGGTCCCTGAGCCGTCACAGAAAGCCCTGGGGCTGCGGGTGCCCTCGTGCTGGGGTCTTCTGGTCCCTGGGGTGTCCCTGACACCCCTCTGCCCCTGGGTTTGGGGTTTGCTCCCTGGGTCTCTTTCAGCCCGGGCCTTGAGGGCTGCTCCCCGGGCTCTGTGTGAGTCCCCTCTGCGTCCCTGCTGCCAGGGGCTGGGCTCTGAATGTCAGGGACCCCATCAGCCCAGGACCTACAGGGCCAGTCTCCAGGATCCCTGTCAGTCCCTAGGGTTCCCATTGGTTCCCACGGGTCCCTGTCAGTCCCCTTTGGTCCCTGTGGAGTTCCCAGTGCCCGTCACCCTGGCCGGGGGTGCGGCTGCTGGGAGCGGTGCCGCCTGCTCCAGGTCTTCAAGAACCCCAAGTTCAACTTGCTGACCATCCGCAACGACATCACCCTGCTCAAACTGGCCACCCCGGCGCGAATGTCCAACCGCGTGTCCCCCGTCTGCCTGCCCCAGGCCACCGATGACTTCCCAGGGGGCATGACCTGTGTCACCACCGGCTGGGGGCTCACTAACCCCAATGGTACTGCACCTCCCCGGCCCCATCCTGATCTCCATCCCGTTCCCAATCCTCATCCCCGTCCCCATCTCAGTCCCTGTCCCTGTCCCCATCCCCTGGCCACCTGGGACCGTGCGGGTGCTGATGCCTCCCTGCTGTCCTGCAGACTCAGACACGCCAGCAGTGCTGCAGCAAGCGGCCCTGCCCCTGCTCACCAACGCGCAGTGCAAGCAGTACTGGGGGTTCCGCATCTCCGACGTGATGGTGTGCGCCGGTGCCGACGGTGCCTCCTCCTGCATGGTAGGTGCCCCCAGGTAGCCCTTGCCCCCAGCCCCCGTCCTGTCCCTGCACCCCCATTCCCAGCCCCTGCTCTCGCTTGCTGCTGCAGGGCGACTCCGGGGGCCCGCTGGTGTGCCAGAAGGACGGCGCCTGGACCCTGGTGGGCATCGTCTCCTGGGGCAGCAGCACCTGCGACCCAAATACGCCCGGTGTCTACGCCCGTGTCACCATGCTCCGTGACTGGATCAACTCCATCGTGGAGGCCAACTGAGGCTGGCAATAAAGCGCTGACACGATGCTCCGCACTGCCCGCTCGCTGCGGCACCGGGATGGGTGGGAGTGGGGGCACGGATGGCTGGGGCCGTGTGGCCAGGGACAGGGGCATGCAGTGGGTATGGGGCCACCTGGCCAGTCATGGTCACAGGAGTGTGGGGGGGCATGGGAAGCCCTGTGGAAGGAGGGCAGGAGGCCTGGGGACACGTGGCCGCCCCGAGGACACCCGAGCGAGGCAGGGACACAGGGCCAGGTGCAGGGGCACCTGAGCAGGCTGAGGGACACCTGGGTGTACCCCAGGCGTGGGGACACCAGGGCAGGTGTGAGGACATGTGGCCTCCCACAGGGACACCTGGCTGGGCATGGGGACACCTGGGTGCACATGTGGGGACAAGGACAGGCATGGGGACACCTGGGTGCACGTGTGGGTGCAAGGCCAGGTGTGGTGGCAGCTCCTCAGCTCTGGGGACGCTTGGCCGGGCATGGGGACCCCCAGTGTGGCTGCTGGAAGCACAGAGACCCCCACTCAAGAGGGGATGCTTGTCCCGGCCCTGCAACCGGAGCCACCTTAAGACGGCAGGATGGGAGGGGAAGGGCCAGTGAGGAGGAGGGCAGGGTCCATGTCCTGGCCCTGGCTGTCCCCACCATGGCTCTGCAGGGGTGCTGCGGTTGGGGGGGCCTGGGGCGGTGGAGCTACAGCTCCCAGTTGGGGGTGGCTGGGGGCACAGGGTTCACGGGCGATGTGGGGGGCACTGAGGGCCAGTGGTCCACATGGAACCCTGTGCTTTCCGCTGCGGGTGAGGGTCCCAGACCCACAGCCCCCAGGCTGGACCTTCCTGTCCCTGCCCTGACAGAACCTTTGCCCTCCACCCTGCCCCTGCCCTCTGACTTCATGGAGACCCTGAGGGCCGTGGTGGGGGCCCCAAACGTCTCCACAGCCATGGTGGTGCGAGAGCAGCACAG